GGGGCAGGGAAACGTTGCACTTCTTTGTAATAACGGCTTTAGGATGGGGGTTTCGAAAAGAATTATTGATATCATATTCTTCTTAGATTGAAATTTAGTAATTGATTTTAGTATAATATCGCCTTTATGAATTTCGAAATTACGAAATCTGATATATTTCTAGATAAATTCATTTATATATAACAACCCAATAAATTGGGCAAAATGATTTGGGTACGCGTTTCGAAGGAAATATCAAATATTGTGGAAGATCGGTCTCGATTAAGCATGAAGCCGTCGTCTCCTCTGTAAAGGGCGCGATCTCCGTCGTGCTCGACAGACGTGAATACATAGATTTGCAAAAAAATTGCGTGGCGGCGCGGGGGTTGGGATGGCGGTGGCGGCGACAGGATTCCGGCTGGGGCGGAATGGTGGGCGGACGCGCTAGTTAGGGCGAGGGTCGTGGCGCGGTAACGATAGGTGGGGTCGGGAGCGGTGAGGAAGAGGGGGGACGGTCGATCGCGGTCATGTTAGGTGGTGGTGGACGGCAATGGTCTCATGAGGTCGTGGAATATTTAGAAATGGTCAGCAGATCCTCGATACGGTCTAGTGACGGCTCGTAGGTGCCGGTGGTTGTGGTGGCAGCGGCGATGCTTGCGAATATCGGTAGTGGTGATGGTAGGGGTGGTCGAAAACGATAGATGGCGATCGGGAACAGTGGCGGCGGTTGGTGGTCGGTTGCGGTCGCGGTAGGCGGTGCGGGGAAGTCGCGGAACGGCGAGGCGATATATTCAGAAAAGATTAGTAGATTTCTGATGCAATTGAAGATTAGAAATAATATATCATTGCAAGCCTGTCGGGCATGAAATATTCTCTATTTCATTTATCGTATCTTCATTAAACATAATTTGCTAGCCATCCGTGTGTGGGGCGCCGGCGCAAACGGCGGCGGCGTCAGCGGTTGCGGCAGCAGTTGCGGCAGCAATTGCGGCGGCGGATGCCGCGGCGGTTGTGGTTGCGGTGGCGGCGGCGATCGGCAAGGGAGGGATCAATCGAGAAGGTGGTGGGCGGCTATCGGTCGCCGTAGATGGGATTGTGTGGCGAGACGGAGAACGACAATACAATGCATATATAGAGTCCTCTCTAATATGAATGAATTTGATGCATAGAAAATGATATGATTCCTTTTCTATAAATATAAAATTGATTATTAAATTCAGAAATATATCATTTACGAAATAGAGAAAAACATATCAATTCATATTTTGAGAATTTTCTATAATATCAAAAAGTAATCTTTTATATCCAGATGAAGAAAAACGATTAATATCTATCTATTAGAATTTCATCATTCAAAAAGAATGATATTTATAGCTCTTATAATATCTTGAAATATTGAAAAGAGATTCTAAATTATTATCTAGAATATGCTTTATTAAATATCAGAATATCTTTCTTCTATTATCTTCTTTCTTTAAATTTTCGATAATATACGATACCTCTTTCTCATTATATTACAGTTCTATATATATAGAATCTTCATGTATTCTTGATAAAATGAAGTTATAAATGTCGAATATATTGATATTCATGAAATAACAATTTTTGAAAGATGAATATTAATTCAATTTAGAATTGAATTAATATTGAGAATAGATGAATACGATAGATTGAATAATGATCGATTATTAAATAAGCATTCTGCATTTTATTAGATAAAGAATTCTAGAAAATATATAGAAATCTTCTCATCTTGAGATCGATAAATTCAATCATAGATTCAATAAAAAATGAGAAAATTGATAAATAGATAAGATAATAGATAGAATCTTTCATAAATCCAAATCATCATAAGATAAATAATAGATAAATGAATATCTAAAGATTCCGATAATTTAATAGAATATTACTTATTAGATAAATTCTAAGATTCAATTAATTCTAGAAATATCATATCAAAAATATTAGAAACTATTTCTTTCTTCATATATATGATTCTAAATAATCTTCCTTCAAATTATTTCCGCCATCATTTAATAAAGATACAATCGTATTTAGAAATCTCTCTTTAATACGTATTTTACTTTTAGAAAAATACGGATTCGAATCCAGAATATCTTTGGCGAAAAATGTTTCAAAATATTTCGAGATCCTCAGTATCTTAGAAATCTTATAAGAATCATTTGTTTTCTCTTTTTTTGAATAAGGAATGGGACGGGGAAACGAAGAATTTCAGAGAATAGAAGATTATATAGAACGAACGATAAATAAATTAATCAATTATGAAATTAATAAATCTATCAGAATTGAAATCTTCAAATCTCGAGATAAGATTTAATAAATTAATTTCTTAATAGATAAAAAGATGAAAATACGAAAAATATATGATCCTAAAATAATTTTCATTCTTTAGATTTTAAATATATAAAGAAAGAAAATCAAAAAATAGAGAAAAGAGAAAAATGATAATATTGAATTATTTTCTTCAATATAAATTCGTTGGAAAATCTTAGATTTCTAAAATTTATATAATCTATATAAAATTGATATATTTTCAGGCGACCCGTTGCCATAATAATTCAAAATAATTATTTCAGAAATTCTATAACGAGAAATCCGATGATCAAATAATATATAAGATCGTATATGAAACCCGATGATTTATCAATATCTTAAGACCTCCCTGACATACAGATTCTGCCCTGGGATGCCCCGGGTCTTCAGCTTCCAACGAGCTATCGCGCAGATAATCAAAGAGATATGAAATAATTATTCGGGATCTTGGGACCTTTTTTTGATCCCACGGTCCTTTAATCGCGCGGCCCCCGCATCCAGCCCTATGTTTCCATTTCATTTATCTTTCTTGGGTCATCTGCACGTCTTCGTGAATAGATAGCTATAGATTCTGATAAATTTTAGGTCTCTATCTAAAATTTATGCGCTCCTCCGAATAGCCGCGCCAATAATCAGAGAGAGATCAATTATGCGGAATAGATAAAATCTCATATGATTGCCGACGAATAATCAATATATAAGATTAGATATGACCAAAAATAATCTATCTAATAGATCCTGAAAGATTTTAGATCTTTGCCCCGGGTCTATATCAAACTGCCACATAGATAATCGGAGAGAGAGAAAAACTTCAAAATCTTTAGAGATTTCGGGTCGCGCGCTCTTCGCATCCGATCCAGTCTTTTCGCCTCATTTATCTCTCTTAAATTGTCTAGATAATAAATCTGGAGAGCGCATAAATCCTTATAAATAGATATTGCCAATCCTATAAATTCTATTTCTCTATTCTATTTATATATTCTCCATCGAGCAGCCATATAATCATTCCAGAATCAAGAATCGTGCGACCAAAAATCTCCAAGATTTTTAATCGCGCAAACCAGACCAAAAATCGCGAGAATTTTAGAACCTCTAATTTTTCCGAAAGAATCCAAAATTTCCGAAATTTTAGAATTTCTAATATATCCGTATGAAGGATTTTAAGAAAGAGGCGGAAAATCTAGGTCGCGCGCGAATCAATAGACCGCAAGTGCCCGCCCATAATATTGAAGTACTTTTTTTAATGGGGCTATGAAAATAATAGGATCCAGATTTTCATATTTTTCGCCAATAATGACTTCATGAATTATCTATTAATTCAATATCTCAGAGCTAGATTTCGAAATTAAGTTTATAATCTATTATAATCAATACGGAATTCAGAAATCTAAGCTGATCGCAGATTTCTAAGGATTATATTCTAGAAAATAAATCTATCCGTGGAATTTCTTTGGAAATTGATTTCGCTTCTATTCATTTATTAGCCCTTGCCTAGGGAAAGATCTTTTGAAAATATGAAGAACTCGCACTCGACTTTTACAAACGATTTACGCTCACGAAGCGAGTGCGAAACAACGCGGTGTCGTGACGCAACTCTTGTACTGGATTCTTGGTCACCGCTCCTGGGAATCTGTGTCAGGATTTCATTCGTTTCTTGCTACTTGCTTCCAACAAGTCCTGCCGATACCGGCTGTTGTAATATGAGCCTGGCAGCGAAACTTCCGATACTCGCACTGGCGGATAGAATACAAGCAATTTGTCGGTAGATCTTCTTGCTTCTGCTTGTCCCTAGCAATCCTAAGCCCACTCACCCTCCACCAAGTATCCTAAACATCCCTGAGCCCAGGACTGAGCTGCATGACGCGAAGTCCATCTGAGCTATGCCACACAGAAAAGAAACCCTGTCACTGTCATGTGTCCTAACTGTCACCTTAAGTTACTCAAGTTCAGTCTCGCAAGATAACATACAACAATCACCAGAACAAATGGTCACTGAAACTGTTGAGCATCCCTAAATCCCAAACCCTTAAACATGCGGAGGTCCTCCGATATGAACTGCAGGTACGGCAGTGTGGGCTCTGGTGTCTTCAGACCATCCCTGAGGGTAGCCAAACTGGGATCATAGGTTTGCCAAATTCGCAACCTCTCGTTCGCATTGTGCAGGGATATGTAGGGCTCGTTAGGGTTCATAAACTAGGCTAGGGTGTACAGCTGCTTCAACGTGATGAGCCTCCTTTTTGATTCTAAGATGTCAGCGGTCATAGCATGGCCTAGGACTTGGACTTAGGACGACAAAAAAGGCTGCACTGACGGTCAACAATAAGGAAATAAACGCGCAAGCACCCCTTTTATGCACTCCCTGAAAGCCTGAAACTTGACCTCAAGCAATCGAAAGAAACACATGTTTCCACAAAACATCCTGAAGTCCTAAAGCCGAAGCACTCCAGCACACCCGGCCTCAGGGCCTCAAGGCTTGTCTGATGATCCTGATGGTTCTCTGGATCCTGTCACATAAGAGCTGATTGCAGTGGCGTCACAAAACAGGTCCATGTAATAAGGAACCTTATACTTCCAGTGTTTACCGGAATCCTGATTTTGGTAGTTTTTCATGCTGTTCTGAAGACATGTTGTGAGAGACTTGGCCCGCTCTTCCGGCTGCCAGCATTCGCACACTGACTCGGAGGGTCCTTGGTGACTCTCATCAGTCTTTCGTGGACAGCTGCCTCAGTCGCTTGCCCAGTCCCTCGCAAATGCTCCTCCCGGCAATTCACTCAGGCCTGCTTACCTCCTGCTACGATTGCGGCTTGCTCTTGACCCTATACCCATCTTTTGGAGATAAGGATCGGCCTTTGCAAAAGCATCCTCGGACTGCCGGAGAATGAGCCCACACTTGCAAGTGCTAAGCATTGTAGTGCAGAAACAAAATGTCAAACACTAATCCATTCTGCCACTGCCAAGGTTCTTGGCAGTCTTTGACTTCTTGGAAGCCCATGCTTCTCACTAGGCATTTGCTCATGCCAGCAGCGCTGGCGCTAATACCGTGCCTTAGTTTTGCACGTCGACACATCCAATTCTTGATTTCAAGTCTTTCCTGGCACACCACTAGCACTGCACGCGCCTGCACAGTGCGACCATATGATAGTTTCGATTCCAAGAGTTGACACCAATTGCAACCTTTGTTGGCGTGACTTCCACTCTCGGATCACCTTCACCTCAGCAGGGTCTGGAGCACAAACACAATCTCTTCCTACCCTGAAGCCGGGAGAACAAATGAAAGAACTTCGAAGACTCAATCACTAATTAGACACGGTTGTATGATGGAAACAGCGCTCATGCAAGAATTACCAAGGAAAAAATCTAGGCACTCGCGCTTCTCAGCTCCGATGGTGAAAGCAACTAAGCCGCGCGCTCAATCCGTCGCGAAGGACCGAGTAGACTTTTTTTTGTATTCTGGGCGCGGAGGAGTTGAAAAGCACTTTCAACCTGCCATACCATTCGTCAGGAATCTCTTCGTCATCCGCAATACCTTCAGCAAATGACGGCGTCAATGCTACCACGGGTTCAGATCTTGCTTGCACATGGATTTGTGATGCAAGCGTTGGCCCTGCCAGAAGAGGAAGCCCGGCCATTGGCAGCACGCCTCGACAATTGGCGGTAGATGCGGTCAAGCCACGCACGGTTGCACCCTTCTTTCGCACGTCGCTGGCACGCTGATCCAAAAGCTCCTTGATCGTTGGCTGCATGATGAATATCACCTACGCATGTAACATGAAAGCTCAAACACATGTGGAGACCTGTCCGTCTGTGTGCGCGCGGCACAAGTCTGACAAACAGACTTCCTCTATACACTGTTCTCAAGCCAGCAGAGGGGCAACGGTCATTTCAAAGGATTCCTCCTTGATGCCGCCTGGATCGCTAAACCTCAGCTCGTTGAGCAGCTCGTGTGTCGAATGAGCTAGCAGCACAGGGACACGTTGCCTCACTGGACCTCTTCAAATTGTCAGGCAGGGGCTCCACATTCTACTGCGACTGAATGGGCGAGGAATGCAGCTGCTCAGCAGTGTGGCAGCTAATGCACAGACATGCATTTGAACGACTTGACTGAACTGGGAAATCCAAGTGACATGACGACAACCTCCTTGCCTCGCACACGCGACAGCAGGCCGGCGAAGAGACCCATGCGGAATGCACAAACCTTCCTGGGCGAATGTTGAAGGCAGATCAGTGAAGTGGCTCCTGTGGCCTGTGCTACCTGAACAGCTTCAGTGACCTGCAAGGCAAGACGCGTTGGTTTTTTTACATTCCACATACGCTGCTGCCTAGGGCTGTGATGCTGTGGATCAAACATTCTTTGGTAAAAACACCGGAGGCAAGCTTCTGTAGCATCTCGGTAGTCATGATCTTCCCGATGTCTGTGGCCACAGCTGCAAGCGGAACCTTAGAGGTGCCAATGCTGCATTTTTCCAAAAGTCCGTGCACCTACTTTTCATGTTTGCATCCCTCAACTGCTGAGCTGCTGAAGGACCTACTGACAGGAATCCACTGACTGCAGATAGACCCTCGCCACCTGCACATAGGGCTTGCTACAGCAGACGCGCTTGTGAATTAGAGGGCCCCATGGCTGCCAAGCTGCGATGAAGGAGACGATGTCTAAGCATTCATCTTTGAGACTTGTGGAGAAACTTTGGCCCTGGGGCAGGCAAGCCAAGAAAGTGCATCCTGCAAACAAACAGCCTTATGAACGTAGGTTTGCTGCTGCGTGCCTTTGTCAAGTACTCCAACAAGGGCGTGCCAACCCAGTAGGTCAACAGCAGGCCAAAAGCATCGCACTTGGCACGGTGAAGCGATCCATATTTGTCGTAGATAATCCCGACAAGGATACCTCAGCAAGCTTGCAAGATCTGGGCCGCATGTCCTTTCATCACAGTGCATTTGCTTCTGACCGTCATTAGGCCAAATAGGCCATTTGATCGGGCAAGCAAATTGTTGCCTCCAGTTCCAGTCATGCCAGGACACCATACAGAACCTTGGGTGGGCGTTGATTTGGCTTTCCACGAGCGGCTTTGTTGCAGGCGTAGTGTAGTGTAGTAGCATGCAACTACTATCAGATCATATCAGATCCAATCCCTCCAGACGAGGCTACTTAGATAGTGAAGCTGCAAGGTGGGACAAGGCTCAAGAACGGGTCCCTGCCCCCCCGTCACGTCTATCCAAACACGTCCAAGCGCCAAAGCGCTCACAGATTATTAGCACCTACAAGTCCCCTTCCAGTATGAAATGTATTGAGATCGTGTTTTGCGGCACTGAGCAAGCATGCTGCGTCGCCAGCCGGACATGAGGCCATCAGCTGCTCCAGGAGGCATTGAAGTCCTTACGTAGCCCCTTCCCAGCAGAAAGAGGCCACCTTCTTTTCATCCCATGGCTCCCCGATTGAAACAGTGACTGAATAGTATGGCATGCCGCGTGTGCTACCAGCCTTGGTCCCTGAAATGCAATCGCAAACAATGCGCGACCCTTCTGGCAACCACACGCCACGCTCTAACAGCTTCACATAGGTTGTAGACCAGGTTGTTCTGGTGGCTAATGTATCAATTTCAGTCGACTCATCCAGCTGCACATGCAAGTGGAAGTGCAAGCCATCGAACTCGCCAGACATGTCTGTTATGAAAACCACCCTCCTCCTGCCAGCATCTGGCGTCGAAACGGCAGAAAAGGTCAAGTACTCAAAGAAGCGCGGCCTTGCCAGCAGCTTCGTCGCATCGAAGCATCGTGCGTGATACTTTGTTTGCGCCTCGATGCGCGTTCCAGCATTGAAAAAACAGTGCAGGACCCTCTCGAGGGAACTCGCCAGTTCCAATTTACTAGTTGGCGCAAACAGCGTGCCAGCAGCACAGGGAATGAACGTGCAGTCCTTTGCACAGAAATCTGGGCGTTGCAAAGTTTTCAGAGTTTCAACCACGCCCTCGCTGCTGGCAACGTGGCCCAACAGCTCGTGAACCACGAGCTCGTATGGTCCTGAAAGAGGCGACTTCTGCAGCGATCCAGAATACAAACAGAGACGGGAGGAGGGCAAGTTGCCTCGGATCACAGAAATCGTGCAGCAGGGTTTGCCGGAATTATCCGGAGAAACGCCTGACGTGTCTTCACAGACCTGAGCCCCAGGTTGAGCCAACGGTGGAACTTCAGGCAAGAGCTTAGCAGTCAAGGAAAGGTCCGCATCCAGTTGCAAACCTTCTTCGTTTTCCTGATTCTTCATTGTCGCCTCGCGGCGAAGCAGCTTCTCGGCGTGTCCGCAAACCCACTCATTGATCTCCACGGCATCCACTCGAGCAGCGCCAGCTGCCAGGGCCATCCGGGCAAGCAAGCAAAACGCCCCCGTGCCGACATCCAGAACCCGTTTTCCCTTTGCCGAACGATAGATCGATGACTGAAACGCCGAGACTCTCACCTTGTCGCTCACCATGTCGATGTGGTTCTGGAGGTTGTAATCCTGGTTATGACAAATTACATCTCGCCCTCGAGTCGTTGTCGCCTGCAGGACGCAGCAGCCAAGCTTTTCTGCAACTTCAGCGGGCTCGCAAGCCAAACCACACAAGCGTGACAGCTCCTCTCGTATAGTGGCCTCCATTCGAGAGCGCAGTTGTTTGAATTTCTGTTTCGCATCAGGTTCTGTGCAGGATTGAAGGCTCCCAGCAAGCTCATCCTCCATACAAGCCAAGCGCTCGCACAGCTGCTCTAATTGAGCACCGGCATCCCGTAAGCCAGCGTAGTGCTGACCAAATGCCAAGTCACGTTTGGCTTCCTCAAGCCTTCGCCTCTTCAAAGACGGCTCCATGATCAGAGCGGATGCAGATCTATCCGAAAATGTGGAATCTGACCCAAAACGATCGCAAAAAAAAGGCAAGCCATGGCCGGCGGCAGGGGGACAAACATGCTGTCTCTTTAGTACTTACATGCCCGCAATACAAGACCCTACCGGTAGGGAATGGTAGGGAAAGCTTTCACCGATCTTCTTGCACGAGGTGTTACTTTAGGCTGTCAAGGCTTGTTCAATATGTGCGCCCTCCGTTGACGGATGCATATACATGTCATTGTGTGTCAAGGAGTACCGAAAACTCCTCTACTCGATCTGGGACTTAGCGGGGAATGTCCAGTTTGATCATGCTTTGCTTGAGCGCCGAGCTTAGGCTTCTGTCGTTGAACTTTAGGTTTTGCTTGCTTTTGGTCTGGAGCTTTTATCAAAGTATTGGGCTCAGTGCTCGAGCTTTAGCTGCAGAGGCCTGGTTGTTTTGACTTCAGACTTGTTTCTTCCCGGTAGGCAGGAGGATACAACATGTAGAATCCTAGGGTCCTAGGGGTTCGCGATTTCGGGATTGAGTTGCGGCGTCTGGCTTGTGTCCCAAGCATATGAATAATGCCAAGACGCGCCAATGGCCAAGAGCATGTACAGCGATGGCTCCATGCCCCACCCTGCAAAGAGTCCTGTCTGGCAGGAGCAGCTTCCTGGCAGGGTGCTTCAATGCGGTGATCTGGGTTTCATGGCCCATGGCTTGCTCAGAGCAAGGCTGCTAGCTTGCTATCTTAGGACCGCTAATCCCCTCGACTCGAGGACCTTGCACTGCATGCGAAGGGATTGCTTGACTGGGGCAAGTGGCCCTGAAAGACCTCAACCAACCACAGCGAAACTGTAATTCTTCAACGAGGGCTTCAATACGCAGCGTGCGCATCACTTGGCCGCCCCCACGCGTCTCATCCAAGACAATTGAAGCTGCACTGAAACTCCTGAAATATCCAAGTGCTCATTCCATCCTGTAAAGTAGTACTCCCGGTGCTCGACAGAATAGAGGGGATACAGCACAGCCTTAATCCTTCCCTTCAGTTCCAGTTAGATAAAATGCATTTACAGAAGCCGGGCAGATCCGCCTGTGCAAAGCTCGGCGGTGCAGGTCATCATGCTTTCCTGGATCATTATGGGGGGGCTTTGCAAATGCACTTAGCCTACAGGGCTCTCAAATTTGGATACACACGCTCAAGTAGAATATCTCACCCAACAGTTGCATGGTTTCCTCCATTGACCAGGGCCAGTGAACGGATCCACCGTTTGAGAGAGACGTGACCTCCATGACAAATTTGGGGGAACTCTTAGGGACCCTCGGGACATCTCGGGACAGGAAGACATAGAGATTATAGGACTAGCCCTCTAATTAACAGGTTAGAAAGGAGCTCACAAGTACTGGAACCAAGAACGATTCAATGCTGGTGCGAGGTAATGGATGCCTGACATATGTTGCAGTCGCGCTGCCGACCATGATGGATTGCTAGTATTACTCACCATGCGGTCCATACAAATGAATAGACACAGGTTATGTAGGAAGACGCACGCCTACGCAGAACCAAGTCCTGCTTCACAAGCTGTGCGTGGGGCCCGAAGGGTACGCTTCAAAACAGTCTTGCCGAAACGCGGCACTCCTTCTCACAATTCTCAGAACAGAGCCGGCGAGAGATGGCCTTTGGCCAACATTTTCCCACATCACAGTCAGCTTCCACGGGCCGCGGCAGCCAGACAAGATCCTGGCACAGGCTTGAACCACGAAAATCGAGGCTGATTTCTCAGGGGCTTTTGGTATAAAGGGTTTGAGAGGGTGAGGGCTCACGAACTGCAGGGTTGGGGTAATTAAGCAAAATCCTCTTCTTCATGTTTGACGAAATCGGGGACGGGGTTGGGATTCAGTTTGTGCCCCGGTTATATTGCAATGGCATTGCATTGCAAGAAGTTGCCGCTCGTTTGCGCTGCCGGGCTGTTTGATTTAGGCGCGCTGCAGCCGACGTTTTAGCAAAGAAGCAAAGCAGTCTGGCAGTTCTCCTCACTTCCCCTCCATAGTGAACCCCCACGCCAAAACCTACCCACATCAGTCTGAAGCAAAAGCGGGACATCCTTGCCGCGACTTGCCGTCAGGCTGAGCAAGGGCACCTTACGCAAAAGTCTTGAATCTGGACTACGATGCTATAGTGTTTCGCGAATACAAGTTCACGAAACAGGGTGTTTTGCAGCTTTCTCCACAATGCAGTGTCCAACATAACTGACATGGGAGTTTGCGTCTATTGCAGGTCCTGAGCTGGAAGAAACCATCTTCAACATGCTGATCCATCACAATTGTACGGACCCAAACATGGTGATCCTTGGTCTTCTCACTTAGGGAATCTCCACATGCATTTCATAGAAGGATGCCCAAAGCTGTGCTCCTTGTACCTGGGAATGGGACCCCTAAGTATGCCTAATTTTAGGGGACTCTCCATGCGAGTATTGTTTGTGGCTTTCTGAGCCAAGTTAGTTGGTATGCTTCTACCAAACAAAAGTAGAACCCCGGGAGCTACAATGTAGCATCCCCATCACAAAAACGCTATGTACTCCTATTGGCAGTGTCCCCCCATGGGGGACCCAAATACGAATCCCAAAATATCATCATCCTTGTTAAAATATGGAGCCCAAAGTCGATACCCCCTAATTTTCGGAAGCTATTGTCCCCACAAACCTCTGTATAATCCCATTTCCATTTAATGTTCCATGCCCTTTCCAGTTGATTCTCCATTTGTAGGGTGATATCCCCATATACCTCATATAATTACCTCTTTGAGGGACCTAGGATTTCCATTTCATTTTCCATGTGATTCTCCATATTGGGGGGAAATATCCTTAAACCCTGAAACCGCAAACAGTGATTCCATTTTCTCTTCAGTTCCAAACATATCCATATGCCCTTGGGACTAAGGGCTGTACAACAAGGAGGGTGAAGGCCGCGCTCCCCGCGTCGAATCCTTTGCAGATTCCAAGGGTGGTGGTGAACGGGAAAGAAAATGGAAGCTACCAAAGGGTCAAGGATTTAGACCGGTTTGAAGGGAATTGCAAGACAGATGGAAGCTACCAATGGCTTCGGATGTTTGGTGGAATTTAAGGTGAGTAGAGACATGGGGGCTCATGGAAGTTCCTGCAGCCCGTGACAGTTTACTTTGGATTACTTTGGTGGGCTAGATCTTCCCCCTCCGTGCGGACGGTTTTCCATGCCGTGCCTGTGACTGTTGGCATTAAGATCTGCAACATCAAAACGCAGTGGCGGTTGCACGGATCGTGACCAGGCCACCCGCCATCTGCGCGACTGTTGACACGTTTGAAGTCTGCGACATCAAAAATTGCGACAGTCCCGAGGATTCTGACGAGGACACCCACCATCCCTGTGACGTTTGGTACTGATGCGAGCTGTAACAAAAAATGACGAGAGTTACGAGAATAGCGCATTCGAGGACTCAAAAACGAGGACACTTACGAAGACGGTGACCTGGACACCCACCATCCCTGTGACTGCGCTTTTGAGAGGCCCTGCTGGGGGTCAGGGGATGAAACAATGCGGGGGCTGCCGAAACAGAGACAGGGAACCATGTGTAGGAAAAAATATGGGGGGCCCTGTGAAGCATTCTTTGGGGATTATCTTGATGCACTCCCAAACAGAACAGAAGCCCAATTTTTCTGCCAAAAATGAAACTGAACCGTCACAGTTGTTGCAGAAAGGACAGAAGCATGAGTGGTCTTGCTTCAGCATGTCCACAACTGATGTGAGCCAAACCCGTCAGTGCAAGGAATTTCTCCGGAATGCTTCAAGTCGACCTACTAACATCAGCGGGCAATGCATATTCCAGCGACAATGCTCACCCTACAGTATGCAGCAGCTAAAGCTGCCTCTGCTGCAAGTCCAAAGCAGGCTGGCGCATGCTACATCAAACAAACTAGTTTTTGCCCCTCCTACCCACCGTAGTGGGAGGAAGAAGTCAGTTGCTCCAAGATGCGAATTTTGTTCATGTAAAAGTCAACATCGCGGTTGGCCTCAGGCCCACAGGCTGCTGCAGTATGGACCTCTCTATACCAAGAGATGCCAATTTGGAACCTGACATGGTAACTTGGGGCTTCGTCCTTCTGCCAAGTGTCTTCGTAGATGCCTTGCGAGACCAACGCCTGACACCAGCCAGGTCCCTACCCCGAGTCCTTGATCTCGCATACAGCTAAAGCTTGACGCTGCCGAACTCAGTTGACCTGCCTGGACCGCTGATGTGCAGGCACCCAGAATGCAGAGGATGAGCGGGACGGAGTTGGACATCGCCTTTGAGGCGATCTGTTGCCACAACGTCTTCGCAGTAATCTCGCAGTGTGGTATCCTCTCTGGTTAGTTTAACCTTAACACGTGCCTTAGCAAGGCCCTCCTCGTAGTCGTAGATCCTGAGCATGGGCTAACTGGAAGGCACTGTTTGAGTGGTGCCCTTCGCTTAATTGTTACCCTCAAGATAACAGGCCAAAGCTCTGCAAATACAGGAAGGCGAAAGTACCCAGCGTCAGGATGATCACGGCAAACCACTCAATCGTCTTCCTGCTTGCCAGCTTTCAAAAATCCGAGATGGCAGAATGCGCAGTTGTCCCACATGAGGGAAGCGGGAACTTTTACTTCATGGCATCTAGCTTCTTTGGCAAGGAAAATGATGGCTGAGCGGGTCCTGCGCTTCTTGAGAATCAGCCGCTCTCCCACAGCGAGCACTGGCGTGTAAACCTATGGCAACAACTGAGCTTGTGGAGTGTTTCGTGACTATGACAAGATCTGACCTGCCTTGCCCAGCACGCTCGCCATTGCAGGCGATAGTCCGAAGGCAAAGGCCATGTTGCCTTACGGTTGTGCTGGCACGCGAGGATGGCACGTCGAGGAACAAGGACTTCGATTACTTTGGACACCCCAGCGCCACACAAAGCAGCGCACGACATGCGGCAGCACTGCATGCAGCAGAGGGTCTGAAGCACATTGTGATCTCAGCTCCGATGCATCATGACTAACAACAACAAACGATTGCAGCAGCTTGCAAGGCGTTCGCGCGAAATAGCACGGACTGAGCCAAGAATCCGCCTGCAGAACCGACGAGCCCGAATAAGCCAGGATTTTTCGCAAGCTCCATGCTTGCAGAAGTCCTTTTGAAGGCCTTGGGACACTCCCATCCGCAATACAAAAAGTACTTGGCGGAGTCAGCCGCCGCAAGCACGAGTAAGTTGCGCAAGGCTTTGCGTGTACGAACCATCTCTTCACAGGAATAAGACCAAGAGGCTTCTCCACTCCAGCTTCCTGCAACTAGTCACATGCTCGACTCCATGTCTCAAGATGGTAGCATGCATGGTTATGGAGACAAGGGTCCCAGTCTACATATGTCTGCTCGCCAGAACGCTTGCATGCTCCCTTGCTTCCATTTGGCAACGCCAAACAATGCACTGGCTCCGGCAACCGGAAACCCAGAACAAGATAACCGTACACACATGGCACTGGCCACTTATTTCTTGCCGTGTCTGTTCCTGTCTTGCTTGGATGTCGGAATTTGTCGGTACCTAAAGTCAGCATTCGGAACTGGCAATCTATTACCAGCTCTGGCGCCTTAGTAGCAATGCAAAATGATGAATCGGATTCCTGAAGCATGTCCATTTTGACTTCCTTTTTGGGGTGTTGAAGCGCAGAGTTTGGTTCAGCCATGACCTAGTTGGCCATTCAGCCGTCCCGCTCACTTTTTGCATGTGGGAACGACTTGTTGTCCTTGAAATCGAGAAAAGAGGAATACCACAATATCCCATGATATACTATAACACCCCATTATATCCCATAGTATACTATATTAGTTATACAAAAGCCCTGATGTGATTTTGCTCCTCGTCACCGTGAGAACAGCCGAGGCCATGCTGATTGAAGGTCATGATGGAGGCGAAGACCAGTCCTGGAAAAGGTATTAAAACCCGCATGGCCTTGGTATACCATGATGCCATATGGATGTTCCCAAATTGGGGGCATATTTGTTGTTGGGGTCCCTATAATAAGAGTTTCTCCGAGCTCTGCAATTTTTAGTGAAAGCTTCCCTTGCAACATGATCTTCAATTTTTCAAGGGAAGAGTAGCAGTGGTCATGACGAATAAGGTCATTTCAAGAAACGCAACTTACAGGAAAAAAAGTGACTTACTGGCGGTTAGGAGGGAAGAAGGGATATAATGCCTGTACAACATATTCCCCTTCTTCCCCATGAATCCACAGTAAGATAATGTAACGGGATCTGGAATCTAGAGCTTATCCCTGGCTCAATACAGAGCTCGTTCGTGTGGTCCTTTTCAAAAGCACGCTACCCTGAGGCGAAGTAGGACGCCAAACTGCCCAAAGATTTCCGTGACCTACTGAGGGTAGGGAAGAATATACATATCTTTTTAAAGGTTCTAAACGGATCATATTCTTATTCCCGCCTACACCTCAGCAAGGTTAGCACAGCAAACACAAAAGCGACTACAGCAAGTGGAATATATTGAAGAAAGCTCACTTTTTCGGCAGCCAGCCAATAGTGGTACACGGCTACCTACTGCTAGTAGAAATTCAAAACATCCCGGCCAACAAATGCAAGACATGGAAGTAGCTGCTGTCGGAAACACAGAAGGGTCCTACAAGGAAGGAAAGGAATGACATAGAGTTCGGATTGATCTGCGAACCTGAGATGCCAAATTTCAGCATGTGCGAAAGCTTTTCGCTCATTATGCTTCTGAAGCAGAATGCATGAAGTGCAGCTCTGCATGCCCAGACTTGCATCCATGAAGCTTGATAGGGCATAGGAGTTCAAGACCCCGCGAGCAGTATCGACCACGGTGTACACCTCAAGGCCATGCTGTCACACCGTATGTCAAAATCCAAACTCCGCAGAATCCCATACTCACACTTTGACACTAGATCTGCTTGGCACATGTCAGAACCACTGAGGCCTGAGCTAAGGAGATGACCAGCATCTGCGTATCCATGCCCGAGCTAGAAGCCTCTTCGGGCTCATCCTCCTCCTGACGGCACGCTGCCTACGAAGCCTTCTGCCTCTCCACAGTTCAAAGAGGATAATCATCCTCATGCAGCTCTTCCAGCTCATCCCTCTTGTCTTGCCCGCCTCACTGCACTGTCACATCCTAGCGTTCTGCGGGCATGTCATGGCAGGACCAAGAACCAGGATTTTCTCTTGGCACCGTGGTGCATCCATTCTATCCAAGCCGCAGACAAACCAGGGACTTGCTTCACTGATCTGGTCTGAGGTTGGACCGTCCAGATGCTTAAAAACGTATCCGAACACGCGAACATGCCCGCTATCAGCAGCAGGTGTCAAGGTCTGTGGCCAGTTGACCTTAGCCCCATGCATCCGGCACAAGCATGCAGGCATGGCTGCGCACGAGTCGCCGGCCTGCCCAGCAGTCACCTTCTTTGCATCAACGATGCCCATTTTCCTCTCGTCCTCATAAACTTCTGCAGTCCTCCGGCAGTAGGCAATGCCATGCCGTCCTATGTTCGCTATCAGCCAACACCCCATTGCGAAAGATTCTGCGTGGGGCGCGGGCTAGGCTCGGGACCGCTCTAGAGCTGGAATAACTTTCCAGTTGCCATCATACACATACTTGCAGTAGACGCTATGACTCTGTGGGGAATGAAGCGGCAAAGTCCTCCTCATCACAGCTGCCATCCATGCGATTATCAGCAACATCACGGAAGGACCAAGGCGAACAGCAAAGTTGTACCTCAGCGCAGGATATCTGCGACCTGCAGCCTGATGCGAAGGTCCTGGGCCTCGCAACGAGGGACCCAAGCCCACTCAACGTTCATGACCAATCAAGTGTAATCAGAGCAATCAGTTGATAGCTGGCTAGGCCGCAGAGCTTCCTAGCCTTACCTCCTTGGCTGAAGCTGAAACCAATCCAAGGTTCTGTTCTTCATTGAAGGGGTCCTGGCAGGGAAAAAAGCTCAAACGTGAGAAGCCGAACTGTCGCATCTTAAGCTTCATCAATGGAGGTCCTTCAAGAGTAAGGCAGTGCTAGCGGCCAACTGGCCATACAGCACCCAGACCTTGCATGAGCTCAACATAGCTCAATGCTGGTGGCCATTGATTTTGCAAAGACTGCAGCTATCAGAGTAAAGATCACATCTATTAGTATTGGCAGAGGCCCGTGTTCGTGAGATGCCCATCTCCCATCTTCAACCCCCACCCATCTACGTCTATAAAGGCTGGCACGGCCGTGAGACTCCATTAGCAACCTCCACCTTCCATTCGAGATGACGGGAAAATGAGAGTCCGTGGATCATCCAACCCCGCGGAGGAAAAAATGGTGCCATGCGGAGGCTGGTACCAAAGGTGACATCACCTTGCGCCACCCCAAACAAAATACTTTCAACACTGCCAAGAAGGGACCCATGAGTTTGGCACATACCGCCTGAAGGTTGGGGGGCCGTGTGGAAACCTCCAGAAGAGGGACCTCAACGAGAATCGACACCCAAATATACGGACAAGTGCTATACTATGGTGATTAGAGCAAACTGCCAGAACCCCCAACCCTGAAGCTCTTCAGCCAAGGCAACTGTGGTGGTCATGTGCTTGATCATCAGGCCGCTCAACCAGCTCCAAGCAGCCAGGACCACCACCCAGGCATAGTCTTGCGAGGACCAGGTGCCCCAAAACCTCATTCTCTAATCGCCACATGCTTTAGGAAACATTCAGAAACAACTGTATTGCGTGGTAGGTTCCACAACGTTTCGCGTCTCAAGCGTAATGTGACAAGTCGAAGAAGGAAATAGTAGCTGTAGCTATGGTGACTCTAGCGGCAGCAACAGCAGGCGCATTGACAATTAACATTCTGGAAATGTATAAAAGGCAAAAAGCCATCAGCTGATAGCTACCAAACATCTGCCAAGCTTCGTGGAAGAATTCAACCTTTGCAAGTGCACAAGCAAGAAGGCATGCTAACACAAATGGATGTAGCCTTAAGCTTCCGCAAACCAACGATGTCATCACAACAGACCTTTGTTGCTGCAGCTTCAGTCCTCGCCTCTATCAACACCACCTGGTGAGCTGTCCGCATCTATCTGAATCTACTTCGTGGCAAGTTGAAGCCTCATTGCTACATGCCCTGTGGTTGCCAATCAGCTCACTGCAAAAGAACAAGCAGCTAGTGTTGACACGCACTGCACCAAGTAAAAGAAGCTTCAGATCTTCAGATAAGATTCTCAAACTTCATGGTTGCATCCTTGATTGAATGCGCATACACCCAGCCCAGTGCCGCTGCCACTGTGGAGGCGAAGTCAAGATTGACCTTGAGGACAGCGAAAAGGTCCTCGCCAGCTGTTGAAAATTCCAATCACATTTGACTCTCTGCGCATAAGTATGAATCCAAATTGTTCTGGATCCCAAAGGAGGACACGACTTGGAGAAACCCTACATTTCACAGAAATCAGGGGGCAAAATATGGGAAAGAGATCAGCCACTGCCTCGTGCCAGCTGTGAAAAAGGCGCTCAAGGAGGATGGACGCGAAGATGGAAATACTGATGGAGACCTTTGTAAAGCAGCTCGAAGCGTTCCCAGTAGATGCAAAAGGAAAGAAGAAATTGCAAACTGCTGTGATGAACCTTTTTTCTGTCAGCTAGTATGTCAGTGCTACCAAGTGGCAAAGGAAATGCCGGCTCCTTCGAAGTCAGCATTGGATTGAATCCAAAGCACCGCCTACAGAAAAGGAGACAGTCACATCTGCATGCCGTGCTAGGCGAAAGGAGGTATAGTTTGCCGGGGCTTGTGACTTCTTTTAGCAACTCGCCTAATGTCAGGCTTTAGGCCTGAGCCCAAAAACCTTGTAGCCTGCATGTATCTTGCTATATGCCTCTGCGAGATGGTGTAGGTTTGTCATGTCCATTTCAACTGCAACAAACTACCACCGGTGAAGCCTGCCCATCTAGGGCCGGGAAGTGCTTAGATGACAGTCCCTGCTAAAAGCCGATTTTGTTCGGGGCCGCATGAGAAAAATGAGCAACCTGGCCAACAACTTTGGCAGCCCCTCATTTTGGCGCACCCTTTCAGTCGGCTAGAGTCTAGAGCAACTCGAGCGCTACTCCTTCAACTTCAGATGAATGAAGCAAGGCAGAGAGGAAGGCAGCAAGACTCAAACAGAGACGCAGGCTGAGAGGCACACGGACAATAGGAAACATGCGAAGTTCTGCCGGTGCTCAAAACACCGTCTCAGGAGGCAGCACGCCATGCGGCTACAGGCGTTTCGAGCTTAAAAGCTGGAATAAAGCGTGCAGGTCACAAGGTCAACACATGACAGCCACATCCAAATGTTGGATCATGACCATCAGTACGGCCGGCCATGGCCTCGCGAGAGCCACAAAGAATGTCCGAAAATGCCGGGCATTCGGCATAGCGCTCCCGCAAAGCGATGAAAGCACAGAGCGAAAACGTAATCCTTCAGGGATGTGGGAATGTATCAAAACAAGCCTGATCTGATCATGACGAACTGTAAAGACCCTCTTTGAACTGCTAGATTATCTCTTGGATGCCCTTTTTCAGTTGCTACCAAGGCTCATGGGAAAACAGAGCCATTGCCTTACAAGTTCAGATGCAGCCGCTGAGACTTGCACTTCCGAAGGCAGGTTAATAGCCAGAACAATGAACAACAAGCGATGATCCAGCTTCCTGTGCTTCTCAACCATGAGCCAGGTTGCATGGTGCCGTATCGTCTGTTGAAATAAAGCCTGGGGTTGCAATACAAAGCGGGCCAGAGATAGCAAGGTGAGCCGTGGCCAAAACCCTTTGAACCTTTTGTTCTCATATCAATCACTATGCCGGAACCATACTATACTGACGCGGTCCCAGCGCCAGCACATCGCGCGCTCTTGCTGTCCTTTCGCACTGACGCGAGCTACCGCGAATGAGATATATGAATGAAAACGCAGGTTTTACTGGCGCGCGCACCGTTTTTTCTGACGCGCGCGCACGTTGCCAGCTTCGCGCAGAGATGCGCAGGGCCTTCTTACCGAGCCGAGATCGCAGGGGACAATGTGCCTGCCACACGCTGATGCGCACTGACGCGCGCACGAGTTTTTGCAACATCCAGGATCGATATGAGAACTCTCTTATAAACTCCTTCATGGAGGTTTTGGCCGCCACTCAGGTATTGACAGGACTCGCTGGTAAGGCTCCCTCCAGAAAGCCAACCACTTCATGGCTCAACTCTAACTCCTTAACAATCCTTTCAGATCTTTCACGCAAAACGCCCAGGAGCATGCTGAAGAATGGTGCGAGGAGGGTCCCAGAGTAGCTTGCAATGCTGGACCAAACTTTGGGTCCGTGGCGGCTGGAGGCCTCTGCCATGCAAGCAGGCTGGCACTGTTTGGAAGCACGCAAAGGTACTCAAAGCATGCAAAAGAAAGTTTGTGGTCTACTGTATAGCAGTCACTAGGTAGTTTCCGATTGATTTTTCCATGTCACAAGTTAGTTTCAAGTTCAGTTTCAGCTGAAATGGACAAAGCATCGTGTGTCATCCCGAGAAAAACTGCCTGCGCCTGCAATTCTTTGCAAGATTGTCCCTTGAGAACGCTTACGTGTGCGAGCCAAGTCACCGAAATCTCAAGCCACATTGAGAATGTGAACAGCGTTCCAAGAAGCCCGAAATGAAGTAATCCTGGCCACGTAGTGACCGCAAGCGATCTGAAATCCACTGCTCTTAGACTTCAATGCATGTTGTTGGACTTCGCGCGTCGGCCGCGTGAGGCAGAAAAAGATTTTCCGCTGCTGGGGCCAAGAAAGTGGTATGAGTCCGAGAATCTGGAGCATGTCAGCACACGTCTCAGAAAACTCCATCGCCATCCATTCTGATGGAACGAGACCACTATGGCAACCACAAAGCTCAGGACCTGCGCCTGAGCAGGACGCGCATTAAAAAAATGTCGCAGACGACAGGGTGTCTTCTTGGAAAGCGACTGTCAGGCTACCCTGTAGGCATGAGGCTCCGGGGCCCTGTATGCACATCATCTAAAGATTGCATATGCAGAAAGAACTAGGACTGCCGAACTCGGCATTTGCAAAACCAGGTGCAGAGAATTGCACGCTGCAGAAACTCGCGCGTCCTTACCAGCCAGGCAAGAATGTGGCACCAGAAACTGCCGCGCGGAGTTTCACCTGGAGAAAAAAAATACCACCGAAACGAACACTAGCCTCAGCCGAAGCACCTCGTTGATGCCGCAAATCAATCTTGTATTGGTGATTCATGACATACTCGGCAGCTTTCACAAAAGAGTAAGTCCTTACCAAATGCAAGCAGAAGGTCTAAGGCGGGGGCAAGGGTGCTACAGTGCTACAGCACTGCACGCCAACAATGGGTTCACAAAGGCCCGAACACAATCAGCAACATCGCCAGAGGTTTATATCTTCGCTGATCCCAGAACCTTGCGTAGCACAGTTCAAAGGATTAGCTCAGCTCAGGCGTGCAACTGTTGAGCATCTTGTCGAGAGTCTCAACTGGTCCCCGGATCAAGTTACAACAGAAGGGCGACAGAGTGGCCTTCTGAGTCTGTCTAGCGCATGTAGCTCCCCGCCATCGTAGTGGTAGTCTTCATCGCCTGATACAGTAGGACAGAGGCATCTAAATTGCATGAGCGTCCTGGCCAGGCCATTGCTGGCAAGAAGCTTTCAGCTCCATCAGTAGCAGAGCTCAACAAATCCTGCAGCTCGTCAAGAAGTTGTCAGGTTCTGGAGTGTGGGAGTCTAGGCCTTTCCGCTGGGCGAATGACAGGAGAGAATATGCTTGTGACAAACCCTATTTGCTTTCCACACTTGCTTGCCACTGTAGAGACATGATTGGGGCTGTGGGGACGACGCATCAAAAATCTACAGATGCACGACGATGGCACAACACGACGCGTAGCTGGACTGCACTTCCTTTCCAGCCTCCTCCCCTTCATCACACAGCAGCTGCGACTTGGGATCGTCATCAGAATCAGACATGGCAGCGCACAAAACTATGAAATGTTTGAGCCTGGCGGCCGGGAATGCTGCTGCCTGTGTCTGAAAAACGGGTGGCCTCATGAGGAAGAGCGCAAAGCTCTCATGTGGCCATGACTGAGGCAGTTTTTGCACTTGTGAAAGCGATGCTGATCAAATCATCACCAATGCCAGTGAGGGCAGTGGTGGTCGCAGGCCGACCACGTCAGCAGAGGCTGCTAGTGAGCGTCATGCTCGTAGCCTGGCCCACCTCAGTCTGCAATCCCGGTCGCACAACATTGCAGATGTGCGCAGACCCGGTGCAGACCTGTAAGATCCTGTAAGGTACGGCTGGCAGAGCACTAAGACTTGTCCTTTGCAAGCATTGATTTCGCGTAGAAGTCCTGCAGGATGCCTTATCTATGTTCTAGTATTCTGCCAGAGTCAGCTCGAAGTTGGCAGCGTGCCTTCATTCCGGCTCAGCTGCAACACACAAAGCTGAAAGCACCAAGTGTGGCGCCCTTCGAATCATTTCTTTGATACGAACCATACTCTGCATGGTTCCAAACCCAGGCGATCACTTGATCATTCAAATGCCCAGTGCAGCTCACTCACGGGAGCCTCAAAAGGCTTGAACCTGTGCGCAGTGTTGGGGCCGCTCCAGCAGATGTTGCCGACATCAATTTAAGGTCCTGGCTTCTCACACCCACCTCACGCAATACTTCAGAACTTCACCGCTGCTTATCCGACTGGTTCTTAGTACGGAATAGGGAATACATTATGTAGGTAGTATGTAAGGAAAATATGCCCTTATTCCCATACTAAGAACCAGTAAGTTGTTGCTGCTTGAGCTTCTGAACTGCTGTACATTCTCAAGAGGAACCCAATATAGACCTCAAAGTACTCTAAGCCATAATATAGGGACTCCCAAAAAGGTATCCCTAAGTTTGGGAAACCCCCCAAAACTAGGGAGAGGGCTCATCCTCGTCATCCAGCCGGCCTGCATCCCAGAATGGTGGCAAGTCTTGCGCTGAGGTTGGGGCATACCCTTAGCAATGCCATGGCTGTGTGGACCCCTCTGGGCGATAGATTATATGCACGAACTTCTAGCAAATTCTATCAGAGTATGTCCTATAAAGGGTCGGGTCCAGCTCCATCATGCAATACGGAGCACCCGAGGCTATGAGAAAGCCAGGACCATGCCAGTTGCCTGCACGCTCCGCGGCCTTGCGCCGCCTGCCAACAGTTTATATAACCCTAATATATACCCTATTACTATTACTGTAGTAGTTTCCATTTTCTTTTCCATTATCCCAATATAACCCCTATATAACCCCAAAATATTCCCAGTTTTCATGGAAAAGAGATGCGCATGACTGGTTTTTCGGTGCATCAAGGTTGACTGTGTAAAAATTACCGCCGTGCCAGGAGCGCTTCTCAGCATGGGGGTTTCCCAGGAGATACTTTACACGGCTATAAGGGCCTTCTTGAGGACCTGTGTAGGGAGTTCCCAAAAAGAGAAATTCACACAAGGGATCTATGCGGGATGCAGACATATAATGGCAGGCTACATTGATGTTCCAGAAATGGGGGTCCCTCTTCTCTACTCCAAAAAACACATACCATAGTCATCCTCATCGCAGGGACTCCTAAGTAGGGAGCAACCCTCTAGGAGCCCTGCACGTCAGTCGCTTTGCCTCCTTTCTGCAGCCATTGCAGTGGGAGACTTGCTGCGCGGGCTGGAGCGGCCTCAGCTCTCAATTTTTTGGATTAAGTCAGTAGTTGTTGCGAATGCAGCGGAGCGGTGATAAGAAGGCTTTCAAGATGTGAGGCCAAACTGACCCTGCAATTGCTTCCCACAGTGACATCATGATAACAATGATTACAGCAGCCACGATGGCTGAAAGGATTTCTTCTCTGAAATCCGTAATGTTGCTTCCGTTGAACAGTTTTACAAGCTGCCGTGGAAGCCAAGCGATGGACACGCACAAATGCAGGGTGCTGAGGCTGCGGCTCACTAGACCTGGAAGTCCATCCTGCCAGTGCAACAAGCTTCTTCAGGCAATTGAGACGAGGCCTCTCCTGCCTGTTCATTGATTGAAAAGCAAATAATCCAAATGTGCTTCAATACAAATGATTGCGTTGAAAAGAACACCGCACCTCTTGCTCGATGGCACGGCCCAAGGCCTGCTCTGCGGGGTCACAGCTCAAAGAAAAAAATCACGGGCGCAAATGAGAAAATATATCCTACAATATATCAAATTCATCATGGAGCTTGTACCCCGACATTCATATGAAATCACCAGCATTCCTTGTGGTCTTGGCCTGCGCACAGCGTATGCTATACCTTTTTCACCGCGCTTGACAATGTGGAGTGCAATGTCAAACCCTTTACGCAGCGAGTTGAAACCGCAAGGCCTTAGGCCGAGCTTCGACTGAAAAGATAAAAGAATCCCGCGCAAATCTTGCTTCGGCGTCTTGTATCAAACTGGCAGAACACAGCGCGCTGCAGGATTCCCAAGTATCGAATTCGTGACTTTCAGAGTGACGCACACTGCTTTTCTTAAATACCTTAGATGTCACAAGGGCGCAGAGAGTCAAAAGCAGGCCAGACATGCTCCTGCAATCTCCTGCAGATTTTGTCAGAAAAAGACGTGACTCTCATCCGGAATTTTGCTGTCCCTCAAATTGACTCATGGACACAAACTTCGCCAAGCTGCTGTTTCTTTCATGAGGCCTCGGACTCGTGACAGGTGTACAACATGGGCATGCTGTGATCAGCCAATGAGTTGCCTATGCTGAAGTCACAACTGCAACCCTTCCATCATCCGAAAAAATCAGGCAGTGGGTGCAGACAAACGCCCATCCAGAAGCGCTAACATTTGGAACCCCGGCCCCCAGCGCCCCCATTTTTTAGATGAAGCCGTACATGATCAGAGTCGACCGAGGCTGTAGCCTGACCATTCCATTGTGGAAATTGCCTTTTCAAGGCACGGCCTGGCTCCCAAAAGGGTATTGTAGCTGGGCGTGCGCAAGATGGTTAATACGACGGTCCTTGTTAATGTTACTGATAGGGACATTGTTGTTGCTACTGTTTCTGGAATTCTTGATATCTTTTTTGGTTTACAATTTCCCAGACTTGAGGTTGTACCCTCAAAAAAAAGCTCGCATTCATGTTTTGATGGCCACAAAGGGATTATGCGATGTGATTCGGGTTCATGTGTGAGCGGAAATCTGGCGGATGATGCGGACATTCTGCAAGGATGTCCTGGTGATCATGTTGGCAGCATGAAGGGATTACAGAAGGATTAGATGCGCCAAATCAAGCAACAGGGACCTCTAATCCGAATAAACCAACTGGGACCCTGTCCGGCCCTCTACGGTGCCGAACATTAGTGCGCGACAGGATCCTCTTCATCGACGCGGTGGACGTCCAAACGCTCTTGATTGGAGCTAGAGCTTCAGGTGTCCTACGTAGTACTGGCGCTTGGGCCAAAGCACAAGCGGCTGGAGTTGATCTGGAACAATTTGGGGACTTTCTAAGTTGAATGCCCTTACTCATCTTCGAGGCCACCCGATCCAGTGACTGGCATCAAGGCACCAGCGTCTTTCGCCACAGGTCAGTTCTCAGTTCTTGACTCCTTGCGGAACAATGACCAGTGAGCATGCGTAGTATAGCCCACAGATTAACACCTTCCAGCGCAATTCTTTCTCAAGCAGTTTGAAAGCTGCGGCATGTCCGAAGCTTCAGCATCGGCAGCAGACGCTGAACTGCCGCAAGGCAAGCAGCACGATGCGTAATGGTGGCGGCTGCACCTACAATTGTGAGTTCCATGGCCACCAATACTATTCCTGCCTTGGCGGGCAGGGCAAAGTAAAGCAGACTAAGGCAACAATTCAAACTAGACTGGTTGGCTTCCCCCAGCCAGGTAGTCTCAGGCTTGGGCATAGAACGAACCAATGGCAGTCAACCTTCCCAACGTCGTTGTTGGATATTCATCCCCTGGGAGAGGCATGTTCCATTCACAAATCGAAAAACACTCAGTGAGTGAACACAACTCTGATTGCCACGAAGGGACCATAACCAACAGTCGTAGCCTTGGCTCATACGGGCTTGTCCCTGCTCCTTTCTCACTCTACTTGCTTCCTAAATCATGGACAGCGCTGAGGCCAGGCGGCAGTAACAAAGAACCACCAAAAACAATGAGAAATTGATGTGAACGGCGTTGGCTCCACGCCTGAGATAACGTGAAAATTCCGAGCTCGCAACTACAACTGGGCCATGCTTTCTCCAATGCAAGTCCAGCAGGGTCAGCTGAAAAAAGCAAGAAGGCAAGACTGTGACCGCAACAATGATTTGGAGTATTGCAGTATTGCCCGAATGATCCGAACTTTTCTGCTTGGGTTTCTCCATCCGCGAGGCTTCAAACCCTCGCGAATTCTGAGAGCAACATCTTGATGCCAAGGGTCCATAACCATGTTTCCTGAGCTCAGGCAATTTGCAAACCCCAAGTACGAGCAACAATCCTGCAAGAAACACTTCTGCATCTAGCCTTCTTACTGGACCATGATGACGATTGGGTTACCGCGTGAGCAAGGAAACAAAATTATCAAGCAAAGGCCCTCGTGATGTTTTGCTTCTGTCGTTGGCCTGCTGTTTTTGGGAGGTCACAAATCATTTTTTGACGTGCTGCCCTCAAAGCTAGCATGTGGCAACCTCAAGGACGACAAATGTGTGTTGTCATGGCTACTACCATCGGCGTTCGCCTCCATGTTTATGAAGCTTACGACCTCTTCTGTGGATTCCGCCCCCTTTACCTTCGTCCTGGGACCATGGTTGTACGGACCCCATGTAGGATCTACCGATCTACCTCCTAATTCTTAATCTAGATCCGATGAACTATCATTATAGTTTAGATCAAATGACGAATGCTGATAGCAATGAAAAGCGCCCATCATGACATGCGTTGAACTTTCCGCTGAACAAAACCCTGAACCATTCCTGAACCCTTTGCCAGCCAGGGTCGTCGGCCTAACATACACCCCAAGGGGGTACTCCTCAGGGAAGGCGCTCACGGAGTACTCCCTGAGCAAGCACGCGCTCAAGGCAATGTCTAAGAAGAACGCCAAACTGTGAGCAAAAAACTGTACTCAGCTCTATGTACAGCGACCCTATTCCAAGCACGAGTCTGCCGCATTTGCCGCCAAAGGACGTCCCCTCCGCGATCCAAAGGCTGGAGGAGAACAGAATGCAAACGATGCTCGTCAGAGAGAACACGGACAGAATTCCAGGCAGCGAGTCCCTGCACGGCCCAGGCTATACCTACGCCTATCTTCATTCTCGACCCCCCCCCCTTCCATTTATACATTTTTTCTGTGGGGGCATATATGAGGAATTGGAAATGTATACTGGGGGGGGCGAACGGGGTTGAGGGTCAGCTACAACCTGCCTTGAATCAACCGATTGAGACTCGTAACCACCTCAAAAAAAACACGGCCTCTACAAGTTTTAGCGCGGAGGCCATTACGTGGATTAAGTTTTTGGCTAGCCGTAAATAATTATGTAAATGGTAGTTTCCCTAAAGAGTGGGACCCCTATATTATAGACCCCCACATACTCTAATCCTTATCATAAGGACCCTCAACATGGTAATGTTGCACCCGCTCAGCTTAAGCGGAGCTACGCGCAATTGCGTCAAATTTTTGGGAATTGTTCAATAGTTTTAATTGCTAATTATTCTTCATAAAATAAGGTCAGAGCTTAAGGGTGCCTAATTCTCAAAACCTGACTATTTGCTTAGAAGCCCTGAACAGCCCAGTGGTCAGCTTAAGGGTACAAAATTCCTAAAACCTTACATACGACTAAATGTATAGAGGGGAGGGGTATAAGGTGACTAATGACAACCTAGAATGGTCATCGCATGCCTAGTCCTTTTTCATAAACCTTAAACCCATAAACCCTAAACCTTAGACCCTAAACCCTGAACTTTTGTTGTGGTCAGGATTGTGGATTGCAGCAGGTACACGCTATGAAGCAGCCAAAATGTATAGGGGGGAGGGGTATACCACGATTTTTTTGTCCAGTCCTGCCAGACTTCCATGGTAACTGTTAGAGACATTCGCAGATCAAAAATAGGGGATGGGGGGGGGGACGGTATACATTTTGGCTGCGCTACTGGTTCCCGATGCGCGTTTGCCCAATCGCGCTCTCTAGGTAATGTGTATACGACCCCCCAACAAAGACCTGGAGGCTTTATGGTTCGGTGTACCTAATATATGTTGTACCTAATATATTATGCCCACCTAAAACATTCCAAGAGTGTACCTCTTAAGCTGACCGGCAGCGGTCACCTTAAATGGACCCCCAAGTTGCTATCCAAAAAACTGTACATCTTAAGGTGACCGGCGGCAGTCACCTTAAATGGAGCCCCAAAAGATACCCCAAGAGTGTACCTCTTAAGGTGACCGAAATAGGTTTCAACTAAAGCCATAGTACCTACGCAGTACAACCGTGCACAAGATTGCGCAAGCCGAAATCGAATCCACTCAATTTCTGAACATTCGATAAATCGATCTCAAAAGCCTAGGTTTATGAACCCCTCCCTGTATACATTTCTGCTCCGCGAGCTGTCCGAAAATGACAAGTACGGGGCCCCCCTGTATACATTAGTTAGGCGTGGGTATCCCAGGCTTGTCCGACGCGAACTCCAACTCACAATCTGCCGTCATGCCATGTGCCACCCTCACTTGCTTTCAATCCTTCGTGAGAATTCATTTGCAAAAGTCTCAGGCTATCCTACGAATTTCTGTGAGCCCGCGCCCGACGATGTTGATGATCATTTCCACACCTCATTGCATCTGCTTCATGGCACAACCCGACACAGGCCACTGATCGCCTGAGATGCTCCCCATTCTAGGAAACCTCTGGGGCTTCCACCATCGCGCAGTCTGGGGGATTTTAGTAAGCGGAACCTGAGACAAAGCGCATCCGAAAGAATTGCGAATGACAACCACCATTGCATGGAGTGGTCACAGGATGTCAAAGGGAAGGCTGCACGAGGAGGTAATCGCACAATTGACAGTTGCACGACAAGGGACACCCTGACCAGTCGCAGTACTCGAAGCGCGGCGGTGCTGCCCTGATACAAGCCGCCTCAGATTTGTGAGTGCATCTCGGTTCTACCATT